GAATTTCCCGTCCTCTGCTGAGGGTGCCGCACGACGGCGCCCAGTGAACCCACCAGTCACATCGCTTATGCGATCGGGCTGGTCCGCAACTGCGTAGGCCATAAGGACGTCCGAGCCGATGAGTTTATCGGTCTCGATCTTCCCCAAAATCCTCCGCGCGACGGCGGAACTCGCTGAGAATCTTGCTGTTCCAAGTATCTACTACAGAACCTTGTTACTTATTTACAGTACCCATAAAGGAACCCCCAAAAAGAAGCTTTTAAGCGCGCTATTTCCCAAGCCCAAATCAGGCTTCATTGGGTTTCGAAAAACATTTCACCCTAAACCCCTAAAGGTAATTCCTTAGCTTTGAAGTAACCAAGGAGAAAAAGTATACGTATCGTAGTTTATAACGGATCCTTTGAGGAACGGGTCAAAAAGTATTCTGGTATGGTACGTGCCCCTAAACCCTAAAGCGAAAACCAGAATTGCTGCGAGAGACTCTGGCTTCGATCCTTGGAGTAGCGGGCTCCTTGACAGGTTCCTGTAAGGGTTCGGTAAGGACTCCCTACAGGCTTGGGGTTTAGGGTTTGGGTTTAGTGTTTAGGGTTTAGGGTTCAGGGTTTGGGTTTAGGGTTCAGGGTTTAGGGTTTTGGGGTTTGGGGTTTACAGTAGGGTTTGGGGCTTACTACGTGGCTTCCACAAAGGCGGTTAAGGGTTCAAACCCTAAACCCTAAACCCTGCTTAGGGTTAATAGCGGTTGCTACAGGTTTAAGGCCTTCAAGGGTTTCGACGTAGGGCTTTAGTGTTTTAGGGTTTAGGGTGTACAGGTTTAGGGTAGCGTTTAGGGTTTAGGGTACAGAGCTCCATGGTGATTTGTCCAGAGGTCTGCCGAAGTGGTTGTTGAACGGTGTCCCCTCAAAGTCTCTACATACGTCTGCTACAGCCGAATAAAGGTGAAGACCATTTCTTACAAACCCTAAACCCTAAACCCTAAACCCTAAACCCTAAACCCTAAACCCTAAACCTTAAACCAGGTTTTGTGCTTGGGGCTTGAGTCCTCTCCGAGCCCATTACACCCCAAAATGATAAGAATTAGGGTTTAGGGTTTAGGGTTTAGGGTTTAGGGTTTAGGGGATAAGAATTGTCTAATAATCCCTTTGGGCTTATGCTGTAAGCACAACGAACCATAATTCTTAAGGAACACCTGTGACCCCAAACCCTACAAAATAGTCGGTCATGAGCCCTGAAGTAGGGGGTAGAACCCTTACAACGGTAGGTTTTTGGATCGCCAGGAACCAGGAATAGAGAGCTTTCGCGCTCTAGGGATTTAGGGGGCTATGACTTTCGTTGAGGATAGGATTGAGGGCCGTTAGGGTTTAGGGCTTAGGGTTTATTGCTTACTTGGAGGTTCATGGGACTTAGTAAGCACAGCTATAAGTACCTAGTTATAAGTAGTTATAAGTACAGTTACCTTATTTATACCCCCAGTTACTAAGTCCCGTGAACCTCCAAGTAGGGACAACAAGAAAAACCCTAAACCCTAAACTCTAAAGCCCTGAACCCGAAACCCGAAACCCTAAACCCTAAACCCTAAACCGACAAGAAGCCAAAGATCCCGGTCTGAGACTCTGAAATGCTGAGCCCCCGTGCCATCACCCAAGAACTCAAAGGAGCGGACGAAGCCATGTGCCTGGAAGCTCAGTTTTTAGGGTTTAGGGTTTAGGGTTTAGGGTTGTAACTTAGGGGCTCGCTTCTAAGGGGATCTATAAGGGGTCTTGCTCGGTTTCTATAAGGGTACTGTGAGGGTTCTATAAGGGTACTTAGAGGTTCATGGCACTTAGTAAGTACAGTTATACGTGGGGTTTGAACTCACTCCAAGTATAACTACTCTATTCAGAACCCTCGTTACTAAGTCCCATGAACCCTAAACCCTGAACCCTCTAAGGGACCTATTCTACAACCCAATAGTACCCGTAAAAGGAAACCCTAAACCCTAAACCCTAAACACGTAAAAAGGAACCCCTAAACCCTAGATACTGAGTCCCACGAACCTTTAAGTACATGTGCCAGGTTCCGGGCTAGGGTTTAGGGTTTAAGGTTTTACGGTTGAGATGGGGTCTAGGGTCTAGGGTTTAGGGTTTAGGGTTTAAGGTTTTACGGTTGAGATGCAGCTCAAGGTTGCCGAAGCGCTTGGTGCTGCTGGGGTTGTTTGCAGAGGTCTGACGTGGGTTGGAAAGTGTTTTGGCGCAGCGTCTAGCCTTTAAGCAAATACGGTAGGGTTTAGGGTTTAGGGTTTAGGGTTTAGGGTTTAGGGTGCTGCAGAGTATTGCCGGGGGGTCTTCTAATTGAAAGCCTTGGCATGAACATTGGAACTGGGCATTGGGGTGTGTGTGAATACTACAGCTATAATAAGGACCCGTACTAACTGTTCAAGCCTATGCCTCGGATGTGGTGGTTTGTTTTTTGAGGTTTGGTTTGGGGCTGGGAAATGCATGTGTATTATAGGAAAGCCTGAAACATGCTGTCGCCCACGCTTGATCGTCTGTTGAA